AGCTCCCTGAGCTTCACAGCTCCATATCATTTCTCAAACGATATGAAAACTTCTCAGGCTGGAAGTATGAGTGAGCTCTCTGACTGGGAGCTGTCTTTTAGGGTCATATTTTGGTGCGGGGTGTTCCCTTTTATTTATTTTCTCCCCCTCTCAAAGTATTAGGCCCTTTCCTGTTCCATTTGAACAAGTGGTGTGTCATGTGGCAGTGAAGAGATCAACAGAAAGATATATATACCGCAAGGCATCTAGAGCTGCATATGCAAATCCAGGGTGGGTAGTTTCAGTCCAAGTTTCTCTCCCCTTAACCTATCAGCAGGATTAGCCCTAAAGGCCTTGGCCATTCTGCTAACTTTGATTGGCATTGACGCAATTTGTGATGAGTTTTAGTTGAGTGACTCTACACCTCCAAGAAGTGCAAGAGTCCCAAGACTTAGCAGCTCATAGAAGCTTTAACTACTGCTATCACCACCTGTTGCCTGCTGGCTAGTAAAGACATTAACTCAAAGCTTCAGCTATATGCATTTTTAAAGTATTAGTAGTAGGACTCTGCCGTATCTCAACCCACAAACTTTCTCAGTTGGCTCATTTCTTAAACTGGACCGAACGCATGGCCAGACGTTAAGCCCCAAAGGACTACCTGAGCATTACCTACTCATTCTTTTTTTCAAATGGTCTAGTCATAAGGTATCATTGGAGAAAGAGACTAAGAAGAGCAGCAGCAATAATAATGTAATACTGAGGTTTCTTCAAAAGGCAGCTCTTGGTTAATATTCTTCATTCTGTTGTTATTTTCATGTGATATAAAAGCAATGTTAATAAGTTCCAGTCCTGCCAAGATTCAGAAAGGTGAGTAACCCCACTGACATCACTGAGACTACTAAAGCAGGTAAAGTTATGCATGCAATTAAGTCTTTGCTGGATCAAGGCCTAATTTGTCTTGAAAGCCAAAAGCACTTACTATTATTAGTGACAGTCTTAAGTACCAGTGGTGAACTCAGCTCTGTTCCAAACACAGATGGAAACTCTGCCATTAATTAATTTTAGGACAAAGCACAGTATGATGCTTTTGGAGAGAAAGTTATGCTTGCTTTCTTCCCAGACACGGGAGGGACTGGCGTGAATAGCCACCTCCTTAACACTCCCTTTTGTTTCTCTTTAAAAAGATCTCCAAGTATTTAGCTGAAAAAACCTCCCCATGGCCTGACTGTCATCCCCTCCAGAAGAGAAGGTAGGTCTAATTGAGTCATAGCTACATTGTCAAATTGACACGTGGAATATAAAACTTATGGTAGCACCACTCCTGTGAGATTGCTTGGGCAAGAGTGATGGATTGGTCTGCTGAAATCCATAACTACTCTTACGGGGTTTGAAAGGGTTAGTGAAAGGGACTGGTAAATGGTCAGACTACTACACTCTGGAATGCTTGCTTCATAGGATCAGGTTCAAAAGAAGCTTCCAAAAAATCATTTTAAATCCCCAACTTCACAGCACAATTTTGATATACAAGCCAGATCCTGAAAAGCTGTCTCTCTCAAATAGTTTCACTGACTGCAACAGGCTTGCTCATGTGACACACGTAGGCAAAATCAGCCCCCCATGTTTTGAAATCAGAGTACTCCTTCCCACCTGCACACCAGCAGCAAATAAGCAGTATCTGGTTGCAGCCAAGTAAAATTAAAGATAGAAAAGAACTGGAGAATATAAAAAATGTTACAAATATTTACTTATATTTTATATTCATCTCTCCTACTGTTTGTTCTTTGCCCTGACATTTCACATCTTACGACAACTGGGTGTAACGGTTATCATTCTATATGACTGAATTAACAATATGTATACTATGGCTTCTAATTGGATACCTATCTAGAAAATGGCATTGGATGGAAGACAAGTGCAGAACATTGTTCCTGAGCTTTAAATGTAAATAGATAACATGTCCTTACTGTATTGCAGAGATCTGTCACACATTTCTGGGGGGGGGAAGGGAGTTGCAGCGGGTACCCATCCCAGATTCCAGCCACAGAGCAAACTTGCCAGGGAATGGCATGAATTCATTTGCAGAAGGCAGCAGGCAGGGCAGCATGGCACAAAGAGACATAAGCTTTGGGGTGCTCAGGAGGTAGTGGAGGCTTTCTTTCATTCACCAAAGTTGATCTTGCAACTCTTTCGTATATAAGTGTCTACCCCTGCTGATTTTTTCATGTGAATAAAGATGACTATCATGAAAAGAAGGAGTGCAGCATTGCTGCTATAGCATAAAAACCAAAGTGAATCATTTTCCCAAGCCATTCAGGACTTATCACTTCTTTGAAAGAACAGGAGAGAGAATAACAAGGCAGACTGCTGTTTTATTCGTGGCAATTTTGACCACATCCAGACAAGGCTGCCGTTGCAAGGCTTGGCCGCCCAGAGTGTGTGAATGTTCACATTTGGTCAATTCACCAAGATCAGTGGCAGCATTAATAGCTCAGCTCTGCATCGTGATGGATGAAAAATGTTGCACAACAGTGCTCCCTCGAGGCTGGGACCATCAAATATTGAATGTGCAACTGGAGCCCAACCAGACACACTGCAGAATAAACAATGACACCAGTCACAGGGCCCTAGAGCAATTACAGAAACACTAAGATAAATACTCTTAATTAGATTCTGTAATATGGGGCCTCTATATGGGGAATCTCACTTCACATCAGTTCACGCTTACCAGAAAATAGCAGTGCTTATCGAACATGCCACTTTACCTTTAGCTGGAAGAGCAAATTATATAGGTAGAATCTGCTCTGTTTCATTGCCCACTCCTGATGTACACACATCTAGAGGTCCATTATCTGCTCACTGATCTAAGCAGGTTATGTATGTAGCTACCATTAATGGTAATGAGAGTTACTCTTGTTAGTCTCCCGTGCATTTGTAGCAGGCTAATAGCCTGCTTTTTAAGCATCCAGGCCAGCGCTGGAGTCATATGGAAAATGAGCAGCATATTGTCTCTGGGATTCATATGTAAACGTTAGAAGACTGCTCTGAGGTGTCTAAAGCCAGTGATTAAATTTAAAAAAACCCCAATAATGGTATAAATGTGCTCTCAGCATTTGCTTCCAACACGTATAAAATAGACCATGTGGCTTTATATTGTATCATAAGATAGGCCACCCCTTTGAGAGTATTTTTTTTTTGAATAACAATTAATGGAAATTACCCTCTGATCTTAAATGGAATAAGGTTTGTGGTTTCAGACTATTCCCTACGGATCGAATTTACCAGGGAAACCGTCTTGCAACCCTGGCGAACTGCACATCATTTTCCCTCCAAGTGCAGACAGTCTCCTTGCGCCAGTGAGAATCCCTGGTTTGGGCCTGTAATTTGGCGCGGTCAAAGCATTATCTGTGATCTCTGTCCAAGAGACGTCCAGGACTGGAGATGTCTAAGAGACGCGTTTCAGTTTAGCTCGGAGCTGGATTAGCTGAAGACAGCAGGCAGAAGGCGGGTCAGGATGGTGCCTTGGAGCAGTGAGTCTCAACTAAGGTGCTACAGCCCCCCTAGAGTGCCAGGAGATCCTATCAAGGGTGCCGTGGGGTGCCACACAACATTAGCCCTGTTAGGTTTCCAGACACAAGCCTCAGATAAACCCAGATATTTCACATAGGAATCCACAGGCGCGATTCACCAGTTAACTGCGCGATCGATACTTCGGTCTAAATTCATTGCACGATTTCCAAGTGAATTATATAACCCATGTATGAGGCAGCCGGGGCTCGAGGCATGTTGTGACCCCTTGTTCTCATTATTTTGCACGTGTGGGTGGCTGAAACTTATGGCGCGATTCAGCAGCTCACTGTGGGATTGATCATGTGCCGTCGGTCTAAGTTTATTGCGTAATTCGCCCATGACTTGTGTAATACATGTAATGTGCAGCAGGGCCAGTTTCCTGCAGCAGCCCCTTGTTCTCGCCTAGCGAGGGATGGACTGCAACTCGCCCTGAGGCCACAGCTCCTTTGCCAGCCCCCCGGGGGCTGGGTCTGGATCCAACCACTCATTTCTGTTCCCAACAGAAAAAAGAGAAAAATGTGTATTTCCAGAAAAAGGTGTTTCCCCCCCAAAAAAGGTTTTTTTCCCTTAGAAATAAAGGTGTTAAGGTGTTTCCCCACCCAGAAAAAGGTGGTTTTCCCTGCTCCTGAAAAAAGGTGTCCCCCCAGGGAGAAGAAAAGGTTATTTCTTCTCCACCAAAAAGCAGGGTTCCCCCCTAAGAAAAAGGTGTCCCCCCCCCCAGAAACAAAAGGTTTTTTCCCCCTATAAATAAAGGTGTTAAGGTGGTTTTCCCCCATCCTGAAAAAAGGTGTTCCCCTGGGGGGGGGGAAGTATTTTTTTTCCCCACGAAAAAATTGGTTTTTTTCCCTGCCCCTCAAAAAGGTGTCCCCCCCCCCCCAAAAAAGGTTATTTTTTCCGTAAAAATAAAGGTGTTAAGGTGTTCCCCTCCCCAGAAAAAAGGTGGTTTTTCCCCCTCCTGAAAAAAAGGTCTGCCCCCAGAAGGAAAAAAAAAAAAAAAAGTATGTTTTCCCCCGGGGGAAAAAAGGTATTTCACCCTCCCCCAAAAAAGGTGTTTTATTTCCCCTCCAGAAAAGAGGGTGTTTTTGCCCCCAAGAAAAAGGTGTTCCCCTCCCTCACAATCAAAGGACTTTCTCCTAGAAATTAAGGTTTTCAGGTGGTTTTTCCCCATGAAAGATGGGACAGCAGTGCTGAGCGGACGCAGGGCGAGGCCGGCCCCGCAAGGGTTAACGCCACTGCCCGACGCGGCCGGAAGTGCAACGTAGGCAGGACGTGGCGGCGGCGCATGCGCGCGGAGCAGCCGGCGGCCGGGCCGGAGCCGGAGCCGGA